AATAAGAATCAAGATGCATTATGTAAAGGTACAATTCCCAATGAGAAATGTAATTGTGTTGTATACCTACAATGTACCAATAAAAGAATTTCATTAAAAAAAAGAGCACAAACTTGTTGCAAGATTATATAAATGATAAAAGTTTCCTTGGTGATGGCAAAACTAAAACAGAAGTTAGCAGATCATCCACCAAATCCCACATCTACTACCCTCTCACAGCATTGGTGATGCTATATGGACTCAGTACCAAACATCTTTTGGTTCAAAGGCAATTTTCAGGCAGCACTCAGTAAATCTAGGATATAAGGCTCCACTTCATACCAAATGGGCACTCCACTGACAATGAGTTCAAATACATAGTTTTCAGATTTATCTTATCACTTAATTTTGTTTATTGTTTTATTACTTGAGTTATTGTAAATGAATAACATTTTTATAAATTGCGTTTTATTTAATAAATCATGCAGGAAAATTGACGTTCAGCCTCTGTGTAGTCAACATGGGCCAAATAGACCCTAGCCCTGGTAACAATGTCTAGGGATAGCAACTGCTTAATAAAATCAGGTTACTAAAAATTTATATCAGAAAAGAAAGATCTATAATAACTTACTTCACTGATCACTCTATTGCTTTTACTTGGTCTCTGACAGAGTAGAAGTCTATTAAATATCTCTGTTTTTCATGGTACAAGTTTATTATAATTATAGCTGTCAGGCCACCCTCACCACTCATTATTTCCATTCATTGAAATAGCTTCTATCATGACGACATACCATAAGATAAGGAATCTAATAAGGAAAAAAATCTTAAAAAATAAAACTTGCAGACTCAAATCCTTCATGAGAACAATATATTAAAATTTAAAAGTTAGAGGCTGTGTAGAGAAAATAGACCCAGAGGGCACATTAAGGAGGGAGTGGGCCTCCTGACCATGTTACCCAGACCCACTACTAGCTCTCTTTCATCTAGTTTTTATATCCCCCATTGAATCACATAGTTATCTAGAAACCTTGCCAAGCAGGCTGACAGCCCTGTGTGGGTTGCTTAATTACAGTAACCTGTGATTTGGCTACTTGGCTGCTAATTTTCCTTCCTTATGAAGGAAGGACTACTAATAAATTTTATAATCACCATCATTATTAATACTTTTTAAATTGACCCTAGGAAAAATGCTGGAGACTGGTGGGACAGGACTTGGGAGGGGTCAGAGTAGTCCTTTAAATACTTGTGTTCACACTACAGACTTCTCTGAAGGCAGCTCTGGAGGGGTTTAGATTTACTTACTCTTTCTTTTGCATATCATACTATTTTTCCTATATTTAAATTCTACGTACCGATCTGGAGAGTCCAGCAGGCACCATGTTTGACAATGAGCTGTCTGCCTTGGTAGTAGATAATGGGTCAGGCATGTGTAAGGCAGGCTTTGGGGGTGATGATGCCCCTCGGGCTGTGTTCCCCTCCATGGTAGGGCGTCCGAGACACCAGGGAGTGATGGTAGGCATGGGCCAGAAGGACTGCTATGTGGGGGATGAGGCCCAGAGCAAGAGAGGCATCCTGACCTTAAAGTATCCCATTGAGCATGGAGTGGTCACCAACTGGGACGATATGGAAAAGATCTGGTATCACACTTTCTACAATGAGCTCCGCGTGGCACCAGATGAGCATCCCATCCTTCTCACTGAGGCACCTCTCAACCCGAAGATCAACCGGGAAAAGATGACTCAGATCATGTTCGAGGCCTTCAACACACCGGCCATGTATGTGGCTATCCAAGCTGTGCTGTCCCTCTATGCATCAGGACGGACCACAGGAATTGTGATGGACTCTGGGGACGGTGTCACCCATACTGTGCCCATCTATGAAGGTTATGCCCTGCCCCATGCCATTCTACGTCTGGATCTAGCAGGCAGAGACCTGACTGATTACCTCATGAAGATCTTGACGGAACGAGGCTATAACTTCACCACTACAGCTGAGAGGGAGATTGTGCGGGATGTCAAGGAGAAGCTGTGTTACGTGGCTCTGGACTTTGAGCAAGAGATGGTCAGTGCAGCTGCTTCCTCTTCCCTGGAAAGAAGCTATGAGCTTCCTGATGGACAGGTTATCACCATTGGGAATGAACGCTTTCGATGTCCCGAAGCCATTTTCCAGCCTTCCTTTCTGGGCATCGAGTCCAGTGGAATCCACGAGACAACCTTCAACTCTATCATGAAGTGTGATGTAGATATTCGTAAGGATTTATATGCCAACACTGTGCTGTCTGGAGGCAGCACCATGTACCCAGGCATTGCTGACAGGATGCAGAAAGAAATCATAGTCCTGGCGCCCAACACCATGAAAATCAAGATCATAGCTCCCCCAGAGCGGAAGTATTCTGTTTGGATTGGGGGCTCCATCCTGGCCAGCCTGTCCACATTCCAGCAGATGTGGATCAGTAAGCAGGAATATGATGAGGCTGGTCCTCCCATCGTTCATAGAAAATGTTTCTAATGGGCTTCCGTGTTAAGAGGCTTTTATTTTTCCTTTTTCTCGGCCACAGTAATGGTACAACTATCATCCACTAGAATTAAGGTAAATAGTCCACTCTTCGTAGTGTGCAAACCAGCAAATCTGTCTCTCCATCCAAGTTTCCTGGGCTCTGCTCCAGCTAATCATATCATGATCTCTGTCAACTGAAGGAGAATTCTGATACCATACTCTATGGTCTTCTCTTATAGGACTCTGAGATATATAGGCTTGCTTAAATGTAAATAAGTGACAAGAAGTAAAATCACGAGAAATGTCATTTCAGAATTTCCAAGGTTTAAAACCTAGTTCTTGATAAAATATTCAACAACAGCAACCTGTTTAAACCTGCTTTAAAAAGAAATATATATTAGTTAAATAAGAATTGTACAGGCAAATAATATCTATATACATATATACACCAGGGAAATAAAATATTACATATTAAAGTATATTTGTATATCTGGCTATCTGAACAGCTAATGTTAATTTCTTCCCCAACAGTCATCGTCTTAGCATCTCTGTTTTTTAATTGTTTCCCTTTTTAAATGAACAGATTGATGTATATAAATCTGCTGGTCTGTTGTTTTAACATCTTACTTATTGAAACTCCTCATACTTGCAAAATAGCAAACCTACAGATAATGCCTGATTTTTAAAATAGACATTGTCATATCAAATTAATGTCATTCTGGTACAATTTGATGTCAATAATTTTGCTTGTATTTCTTTGCATAGTAACACAAGTCTAGAATGATTTCTGTCAGCTATGACTTTAGACACTTCTCTTATGCAAGGATTTCACTATAGGAAATTGAGCTGCAACATTTTTGTGAGTTATAAATTTTAGTAACAGTGTAGTAGCCCTAGTTCTGTTCTTGGAAATATTTTTGAATAATTGTTTATTATGTCTAGTGATTAGCAATACTTCTTTATGTGAGTGTCTCTCAGATGTTAACATCTTAGAAAATATCAATGTACCTAAAATATGCTAATGAATCCAGTGATGCTTTAACAGCCAATTTTAATTCTTAGTGAGTTTATTTTAATCTATGATGTGATTTCTGATTATTTGGCTATCAGGATTATTTGTATTTTCAGGGGTTTATGTAAATATTTAATATATTTATTTGGGTTGCTTATTAAGGTATTGTCTTGGAAAGGAGTAATTTCTTCTTTTTTCCTCTTAGGAAACTTCTGCTTGCATTTTAAACCCCTAAATAAGTCTTTAAGCATTTTTGTTTAATATAAAACTTTTCAAATAATTTAATTATTCCTTATTTCCTTTATCTTGTAACATAATTTTTAAAAATCATTTACCCAAAATTAATCTGCAAAGGCACTTTATTTTATAAGTCGGGGTCTCCTCTCATTAAACTAAAATTGCTTCATACTTGCATGCTTGGATTGCTTGTTGTTCTGCCACAATCCTTCCCAAAGTACCAAAGGATAATCTAGAGATGGTTAACCTATCTGTATGATATATTCACCTAATTGTTCCAATTTTACACCTGGTACATTTGAACATTTAAATGTTAAAAGGCAACTAAAAAGAAAAGATGGCCTGTCAGATAAGATTACAAATTTCTCATAATCTCAATTTAAAAGTTTGGGTTTAGTGGATGATCTGGCATTTGGGTAATTAGTAGCCAGGAGTAATGGCAACAATAATATCTTGGATTTATATGCTACAGCCCTTTTAATTGGCAGAGTGAGTAGTTCTCACAAACATTCTGACCTACATTCTGAATTACCAGAAAAACTGCCTCTCTCCACCCACAGAAAATTTATGGGACACAGTAAACTGGAGTTGGTAAGGTGATATCTAGAGTCAGCTATCAGACTCTATAACATTAAGTGAAAATACAAATTTTATAATTAATGGCAACAGAAATTTAAACCTCAGATGTTTGGGTGTTCTCCTATTCATTAATATTGACTGATTATGGATGAGTTTAAGAAGGAAACTGCTCATCTTACAACTTTATATTTCTGAATGGATATCATTTACTTACACTGACATGTTATTGACCAGTGGCTCACAAGCCTAGCTGATCAACCAAATTACTTAGAGAACCCTAGGCTCAGAAATTCTGATTCAGTAAACCTAGGGTGAGGAGTGGGAGGTCCAAACGTGCAGCCAACTAGAGTAAGCACAGCTCCAGAGAACCCAGAACCCAAAGTACACCATAGACTTCCAGGTCAGGAAAGGAGTGGGCATTTTCGTCCTGAGATGCGACAGCACTGAAGAAATCCTCCCAAATGAAACTGATACCATTGTAAATGACTTTCACTCTCCCTTGGTGAAGCATCTCCAGTAGCTATGGAAGGCTAGCACTGTATCGCCATTCCCCCAATTATTTCCCAATAGGGACAATGTTTTTCTGAAAATATATTTTCTGCTCCAAAGTTAGTGCCTGCACTATTCTTGCCTACAATGAGGTGTGCTTATTTTTCTTTATTTAATTTATTCAAAGTTTATTTTAAACATTTCATTAATAATATGAGAAAAGATTCAAACACATTTATATCTCAAAGCACATTAAAAAACAAATTCATGTATTCCAAAAACTATCAAGGACTGAAGGAAAGTGTTTTAAATTTTACATAGAAATTTGTTACACTATAGTTAAGTACACAGAACAAGGGAGTTCTTTATTTTTCAAAATTTGAATGTATTTGATTAAAACTTAGTACAAAGAACTGGATTTATTTCTCAATCTCAATACAAAATTCTATCAGGAAATGAAAATCTTGATATTCTATAATAACTTGGTCCTGTTGAATTGTAATCAAATCATGTTATTGCTATTCTACTATTGTAGCTTCTATGACCTCTGACTCAGTTTCTTATCACATACTATTAATTAAATGCATGCATTTCACTCGAAGGACTAAAGTGGTTTCTATTTTCCAAAGTTGTAAATGTTCCCTTTACTCTGTAAAATCTCATTTGATTTATTTTCTGTTTGGTTTTCACAAATTCATCTATCCAAAGTTATAGCACCGTACATAATAATTTTTCTACTCTATAAATCCCCTTTGCATTTTTCATACTTCTCTTTCCCAAATCCTTAGTAACCACTGATCATTTTTTAAATTAATTTTATTGGTACAATTTAAATATACACAACGATCACATTTAGCAAAGGAAATTTGTACCTGTATGCGATATATCTTGATTCCTCTTTGTCTTCCAATCCCCTCCCCCCTTCAACCCCTTGTACCCCCCCTTATTTTCAAAAGCTTTGTTTCCATTTCTTTCCTTCTTTTCTCATTGTTTTTCTTTCCCCTTCCTTCTTTTCTCCCTCCCCTCTTCCCAGTTTCTCTTTCCTTTTGAACAATTTCTTCCAATTTCAAATTATCTATTATACATTTTGGTCCTTATTTACCCTTTCAGTTTCTCACACCAGAGAAACTATTCAGTATTTACACATGTGCTATTTATTTCACTTAAGATTATGGCCTCAAGGTGCATCCATTTAGCTATAAATGTCTCTAGTTTATCCTTCTTTATGGCTAAGTAGTACTCCATTGTATAAAAATACATCTTTTTTATCCATTCATAAGTTGATGGACATTTGGGCTGTTTCCAAGATTTAGCTATTTATTACAAACTATATCACTATAAACATGGGTATGCATATACTTCTGTGGCATGATGCTTTTAATTCTTTCAGGAATATACTCAGAAGGGGAATGGCTGGTGGCCAGCGATGTCGAACATTTTTTATATATATTTATTTGCCATTTGTACTTCTTCATCTGAGAAGTGTCTATTAATTTCAGATGCCCATTTTTGGATTGGGTCTTTAAATCTGGGGGGGTCCAATTTTTTCAGTTCTTTATATGTTCTAAATATTAATCCTTTATCTGAAGGACTACTGGTTAAAACAGAGTGAAGAGTGAGTAGGTTGTCTCTTCACTCTGTTGGTTATTTCTTTTGTGGTGCAAAAACTTTTTAATAGGATGAGATTCCAGTTGTTGATTCTTTGTATTATTTCCCATGCAGTCTGGAACAGACTAGAAGAGGCAAAAACAACACAGAAACACTCAGCCACTTTATCTTTGACAAAGGGGCCAAACACGTTCACTGGAAGAAAGATAGCCTCTTTAACAAGTGGTACTGGAAAAACTGGCTTTCTATATGCTGAAAACTAAAACTAGACCCATGTCTCTCACCATGCACTAAACTAAAATCAAAAAGGATCAAAGATCTAAATATTAAAACAGAAACACTAAATCTGCTGGAAGAGAGAATAGGTAGAACTCTTGAGGACAGAGATAGGCAAAGACTTCATGAACAAAACCAAGAGTGCTTAATTTTCTTTTTCTTTCTTTCTTTTTTTTTTTTTCTGGTACTGGGGATCGAACTCAGGACCTTGCGCTTGTGAGGCAGGTATGGTGCCACTGAGCTAAATCCCCAGCCCAAGACTGTTCATTTTCCAATAGTGAGAGAAAGTAGTCCTAGGTTGGACTGTATCCTAGAGACCAATTCAAAACTCTATAATATAGGAAGCCTTAGACATGAGTACTGCATTTTTCAGATAATCATAAGATAACCCTTTGGGTGACAAAGACCTTACCACATTTATTTATTAATTCCACAACTTATTAATTCAATACTTTACACCAGAATCTACTAGACTAATATTTTTAAAACACTGAGGAATTTATAATCCAATAGTAGGAGAAACTGCTAGTTAGTTCACAGACTAAACACAGTCCAAAGTATATGGTTATGCATATTAGAACACTTTAAAGCCAGAGTGATCAAAGGATTTGCAGAGTAAATAGAGTCACTGATTTAAGTCTCAAAGCTCACACAAGTTATGTTGAACACAATAAGTTAGATGGCTCAAGAACAAGTATGATCATTATTTACTAGGGCTAGTAAGGTTATTGATTCTCATTTTGAAAGTTTCCATTGGACCATAGTAGAAACTTAAAGAAACTCTAAAGAAGTGCACAACTTTTAAGGATAAATTCAAGTGTCACCATAAACCTTTATAGCCTACTGATCCTCCTTTCCTAGGAAAAGAGACAAGCTCCTCTTTTGTGCCTCTACTGTATTGTTTACCAGTATATTGGTATTATAAACGTACCACAAACATATCTATATTTGTTAAGGTGTAAGTATTAAGTGACTCCCACAGAGTCATGCACTGAGGTTTTGATCCTCTGTGTAGCAATATTCAGAGGTGGAGGCTTTGAAAGATGATTATCATAAGGATGCTAACTGATCACTATATTATTCCATCAGTAAGTTCACAGCTGAAAGTGCTGTTAGAAGGTGGGGCCTGCTTGAGGAAGGCTTCTGGGGACATA